AACCCCCCCCCAAACGGGGCTAAGGGGACACTGCCACCTGTGTCCCTTGTCACCAAGGGCCAGCAGGTCCCCAAGGCCACCCTGGTGCTGGAGGTGACCATGAGAACTGGGGGGAATGGGTAGATCCAGAGGGAATGTCACTCTGGAGTCATTAGGAGATTCAGAGACATCTCTGGGGGGAGTGACAGTGACCTGGAGGGAAGGGACAGAGTCTGCATGAGTGACAGTGGCACCTTAGGGACTGTCCTGGGGTCACAGGCAGGAGGTGACACCTGGGGAGTCACAGGCAGGAGGTGACACCCAAGGGGGCTTCCACCTGTCCTCCCTGGATGATGCTGTGGAGTGCCACGGATTTGGGGGTGTCCCAGTGCTACCCTGGCTGTGACAGGGAGGAAGTAACATGTGACACCCCAGCCTGAGCCCTGGACTGGCCGTGGAGCCAGGAAACCACCTCTGGAACCACCAAGATTGTCCCCAGAGCCTCTCAGAACCCCCCAGGACATCCCCAACCCCACTCAGAGGACAGAGCCAGCCCAGGGTGGTGACTTGTGACACCCCAACCTGGGCCCTGGGCTGGTCACAGAGCCATGGAACCACCTTTAGAGCCACCAAGGTGTCCCCGGAGCTCCCACAGAGTCCCCCCAAAGCCTCCCAGAGCCCCCCCAGGACATCCCCAACCCCTGTGTAGGGACAAGGCCAGCGCAGGGTGTCCCCCTGTGTCCCCACCTTGACGAGGAAGCTGCCATCCTTCTCCCGTGGGACCATCACAGGCGAGTCGTGCAGTTTGTCCTCAAAGTGGACGTGTGTCCCCTCTGGGGGGGCAGTAGGGGCGAAGCGCAGGGCCCCCCCCTTGGCCTTGCTGCCTGCACACACACACACACACACACACACACACACACACACACACACACACACACACACACACACATTTGTCATCTCTCCCTGGCACAGCCCCAGGGCTGGGACTCCTCTCAAAGGGGCTCTGGGGGGACAGGGATGGAGGGTGAAGTGCTGGGACAGTCACCCATTGACTGTGGGCTGGGGACAAGGGGACACAGGGCACAGGGGGAAAGGTGTGGAAGTGCCACCAGCCCATGTCCAGAGGGTCCCCAAGGATCCTCAAGAGATCCCAAGGCTCAGCAGCATCTGTTCCCTCAAGCGACTTCCTTAGGACAAGTGGAGACACAAGGACACAGGTGACAGAAGGAAAGTGTAGAAGTGCCACCAGCCCATGTCCAGAGGGTCCCCAACAGTCCCCAGGTGTCTCCAAAGGTCCCCTGGGCTTGGCAGAATCTGTTCCATCCTGTGACCTCCTCAGGAGGAGCAGTGCCACAGCCTGGGTAGGAGACACAGGACACAGGTGTCAGGGGACAAGGGACATGGAAGAGTGTGTGGAAGTGCCACCAGCCCGTGTTCAGAGGGTCTCTAAGGGTGTCCAGGTGTCCCCAGGGGTTCCTGGGGGTCCCCAGGGAGTGCCACCAGCTGATGCCCAGAGGGCCCCCAGGGGTCCCTAGGTGTCCCCAAGGATCCCTGAGGGTTCCCAAGGGTCCCTGAGGATCCCCAAGGGTCCCTGAGGGTCTCCTGGGCTCAGCACCATTCACTCCCTCGTGCAACCCCTCGGGACAAGGAAGGGACACAGCTGGGACACTGCCACCGGGACAACGCAGCTTCCCATCCATCCCATGCCTGGAATTCTGGGTATCCGCCCCAGTTCCCTATCTCTGCCAGGACATCACCTCCCTGGGAACACCACTGGCCCCGCAGGACCCCCCAGAGGCACAGCCCCCGAGGGATATTTCACGTGTGCCTTTCCAACAAGCGATTTTCCAAGGAAAACCAACCCCTCCTCCTCCTCCCCCGTCACCCCCATGTGGCAGCAGATTGTCGCCTCCTTCCCAGAAGAAAAGGCCCTTTGTGCCGGGAATTGCGGGATGCAATGTCCCACATTGTCCAGCGGGAACGGCGCGGCCGCACACAGAGCGGGAACAAGGGACACGCAGGAGACACTCCCGGCCAAGGGCAGGTGGCCCAAGGACCTCTGTGACAGGGACAGACACCTGGGGGACACACTCGGGGGGTCCTAGGAAAGCCTGGAGGGGTGACAGTGGCACCTCAGGGACTGAGGTCCCTGGAGAGGGGACAGGAGCCCCCCCGAGACAGAAGCAGTGTCCCCCCACCCCCACCCCAGTCCCCTGTGGTCATGGACCTGCTCAGCTGCTCCAAGGGCTGCTCCAGTAATCCCTGAATCCCTGGATACAGGCAGAGGGGACCCTAAAAGGTCAAGGCAAAAGGTCCAGGCAGCTCCTGGATCCCTGGATACAGGCAGAGGGATCTCCTGGGAGGGCACAGGGGCCCCAAAAGCTCCAGGGATCCCTTGAATCCCTGGATATGGGTAAAGGGAATCCGAAAAACTCCAGGGATCTCTGAATCCCTGGATATAGGCAGAGGGATCCCCTGGTAGGGATGAAAGACCCCAAAAACTCCAAGAAGACCTCAGATCCCTGGATCCTGGCAGAGGGACCACTCAGCAGGGACAAGGGACCCCCTGGCAGGGACAAGGCATCCCAAAAGCTCCAGGGCCCCCTCAGATCCCTGGATACTGGCAGAGGGGTTCCCAAAAGCTCCAGGGACGCCTGAATCCCTGGATATGGGCAGAAGGACCTCTGGGAGGGGCCAGGGCCCAGGCTGGCGACACTCACCCTTTCCAGCTGTGGCCATGTGTTCCTGTCACCGTCGGTGTCCTCCTCGGTGGTCAGGGGGGCATCCTGGAGCTGGAAGGGAATGGGCAGGGAATGAGCTGGGAATGGGGTGGCAATGGGCATGGGAATGGGCAAGGGAATAAGGAGGGAACAGAATGGGAACGGGAAGGGCAAGGGCAAGGAAAGGGCAGAAAAAGGACAGGGAATGGGCAGGGAAGGGGGAGGTAATGAGGAAGGAATGGGAAGGGAATGAGCAGTGAAAGGGCAGAGAATAGGAAGGGAATGGGAAAGGAAAGAGCGAGGAATGGGCAGGGAAAGGCGAGGGAATGGGGAAGGGAATGGGGAAGGGAGCGAGCAGGGTATGGGGGAGGAAATGGGGAAAGAATGGGAAGGGAATGAGCTGGGATTGGGCAGGGAAGGGGCAAGGAATGGTGGCACCGTATGGCCACAATTCCAGTGGCTCCGGCACAGTCCTGCCTGGGAGGAGCCTGTGGAAGCGCCGGCAGCATTCCAGGGCCTAGTACCATGGTGATGGGCACCCCCAGGGAGCGACTCCCCATGGATCCGGGAAAGGTGGCGTTTGGGACACGCCTATCCTGTGCCTCAGTTTCCCCATTCTGTCCCCAAAATGCTCCAGCAGATCCCAGTCCAAGGAAGCCATTCCCAGCTGGAAGCAGCAGTGCAGCTCCCAAACCTGGAGCCTCACAAATCCCTTTTCCTGGGATAACAGGAGGCTCTGGATCCAGTGTGGCTGGGATGATAAGGCTTCCACACCCCACCTAGGAATTCGGGATTTGACATCCCAAAGAACTCCTTCGATGAATGTTTGGGGTCAAATCTCCCCACTAGAGACCCCCCAGCTCCATG